GTCTGGCTGTTTCAAACTTAGCTTTTCTTTTATATTCCCAGAATCTGAAGCTGGAGGGCACAGAGGACCTTTCTGATGTCCTGGTGAAACAAGGCAACTGAGCCCTGTGTGGAGCAGACCCGCAGGACAGAGCTTGGCTTCCCAGCTGACCGGTGCTCGCCCTGGACTCTCACCAGTAGCAGATTTTTCTCCTCCCAGCGCCGTTGCAGAGAAATCCCACTGGTCTCTGCACCTCAGGAAGACTTTCAAATCAAGGATGTCCCACCTAAACATAGAACTCATGCAGATGGACGGTTGCAGCTCAGCCTGCCTGGCTCCTGCCATCCTCAATCCATCAGCTCTTCCCTGGGTCCGGGTAGCGGAGCTCCTCCGGCTCACTGTGAGCCACCAGTGCCTGCTAGTGAAAGGCTCCTCCGTGCGTCACTCGCTGGCTGTCTGTGATTCCCAGGACGTGGACTGACTGTTACTCATGTCTCCAGTTCCACCTGTAGTCCTGTTCATCCCCCAAAACTATTTACCTTTTATACTGAGCTTAAAGATAATAAATTGCTGTAGACTTTGTAGTTAGGCCTCCAAGATGGGGAAGAGTCTCCAAAACAGGAGAGAGGTTAAACTAACGCGAGTGCCGAGGAGCAGCAAGGGCAGGGCTGCTCCCTAAAGAAAGGCGAGCAGAGAGCCATGGGGGATCGCCCAGCCAGACCAGCACCAGTCTTCCAGTACCTGAACGACGCGAGCAGGACCAACCCGGAGATGGTGGCCAGGTTCAACCAAGAGCCGAGATCACCAGGCAAGTTCACGATGCTGAAGCAGGTCCAAGCTCAAGCCGGGAAGTCACTCTGCAGGTCAGGATGGGCGATGAGGCAGGGAGACCGCCGCTCCCAGTGCGGCTCAGGCAGGGACTGAGGCCCTGGAACTGAGCTTCAGTAGAGCTCCTGGGCCATGGGTGAGGGCCAAGGCCATCAGGGCATTACTGGTGCCCTCGGGGCCCTGACGAGGTGGGTGGGCATCAGCTCTGTGGAGGCTGGTGGAGCTTAGACCTGGCTCCAGTGCTGCCAGCTCTGGCCCCATGGGCATCATCCCTCGGGCAGAGGCTGGGCACAGGACCCCCTCCCCCAGAGCTGGGCACAGGACCCGCTGGTGGGGCACGAGATGAGCATTATTAAGTAAAATGGTCACAAACAGGGACTTTCTTAACAAAGAAAGTATCTATTTCCTTGAATTACAATTCAGTGGAGGGGAGATCCACACGGGAAGTGCCAGCAACCCCCCGGTATCCACAGCTTGGAGACCAGTGGGAGACTGGTCCCAGTGGAGACTTCCTCAAGGGGCTACTGGGGCGATTTGGGGGGGCAGCACCCGCTTCCCCCCAGCCCCTCCAGCACAGCAAGGGTGGGCTTGGACGCGCCCCGGGGCAGCCACCCCTTGCGTTGCCTTTGAGATCCTCCAGTCCCATGTCCCAGAAGAGCCGTGGGACCAGTCCCGGGGCAGCTGCCTGCCCCTCCCTCCCCTGTAATCCGTGGCATAGTGTCAGGAGAGGAGGTGGAAGAAGCGGCTGATCCACGCACCGGCAGCGAGTTCCCCAGCTCCTCCTCCAACATCTGGAGAAGATAAGCAGCACTGCCACATCCCGTGGGCTGGCAGCAGGGAGAACAGCCCTCCACAGCCCGCGAGGTGCTTCGGGCTGCGGGACCACTCACCTCCTTGCGCACAGCCAGCCGTTGCTTCCACTCGCTGAGCTCCATGGTGTGCTCCTGGTCCAACCGCCCCAGCTGCCTCCTCTCCTGCTCTGCCAAGAGGTCCATCTTCTCGCTCTGGCAGAGGAGAGGTGGAAATGGGAAGGAAGGTGCTCCAGGAGAGGTAGCAGGGGTGCGGGCAGTTTTATGGTCCCCGGTACCTGCATCTGCTCCAGCTCTGCCAGGTTCTCAGCCTGCTTCTGCTGGAGCTCCTGCAGCTGCTGTGT